TTGGTTTGAAGTTGATATACAAATACTAATCTGGAATGTTACCTTCCCACATTTTTTAAAGTCATCCAGGAAAGTTTTTAAGTTGTTGTTAACATTAATTATGAGAAAAAGAAATTGTTTGTAAATAGGACTGAAGTTGGCTATAGCAATACACCTTTTATTGTTCTTCCATTATCAACCCTTCTTCCAATAGCATTTTTGAATCATTTTAGCAACAAATAATTTAAACTTCATCAATTGTATATAGTATAAGGTTTTGACACAGAAGCTTCATTGATAGCACAATAGTCTCAATTTGTAGTTGAGTAACTTTAATAATGGTTCATGAAAACTTTTTTAAATTCCAAGCTTTTAACTCTTACAAAAGTTTTGTAACTTTTAACTAACCTGTACTCCTGCTTTCACATTAATTACCTCACCTGGGTTTTCTTTACTATATCTTTTGCATACCTTAATGAAGTGCACTAAGATTCACTAATGTTTCCAGTAATCACTCTGGACACTCTTCATCTTGGAAATAATTTTCAGGTCAAGAACTGGACAATAGACTCATTATCAAGAATAAATAATAATAAATTACTAGAGCTTTTGAATGAAAGTTGTCTACTTGGATTTAGATCTTTCTTTCCTAATGGAAATCTCAATGTTATCTGATAATTTTAATATGGGAGAGATGTACTAATGTATCTAGAACATATGCATATCTTATTTGTAACAATTCTTTTTTGATATGGTAGCAAATATAAACTGAAATAAGTAATCCTAAGGTTTCTTTGTAAATACAGAGGTAGAACAAAGGTAGATAAATAATCTTGGAGTTTAAGAGCCTAGAGTATGTGATGGAGATATCTGGGAGCTACAACTGTCCTGTAGCCTGGTCAGCATAATGAGTTTCAGGCCAGCTTGGGCTACAGGAAGACCCTACCTCAAAAAAAACAAAACAAAAACGTCTATGTATTTCTTTTCAGTTTCCTATTTTTACATAGAAACAGTAGCAAGAATTAAATCAGGTAGCCTATTACCAGGCATATGATGTATATAAATCTAAGTCACTCTAAAAATATTTCAAACACAGAAATATTTCAAACATGTAAACATGATAAATAATGATAAAACTATCACAAACTATTTGTAACTCCCAAATTACTTTCTCTTTCCTTTTCGTAGTGCTGAACATACTCATCTCTCTGATTTCCTGTTTAAATAATTTTTTAAAAAGAAACCAAATCAATATTGGTTTATCATTTGTGAAGTTGAACAACACTAATGCACCATTTTAATAATAGGAGAACCTGGGAAGTGGAGCTTAAAACAGGATGTGTAAACTGTACTTTCAGCTCAATTTTCATAAACCTTAAACTACTCCAGGAAATAAAGTTTATTAATTAAATAAAAACATGTTTGTTAGTGGTTTGTGATATATGTTATGACAGAATCCAGCAATAAACGTAGCAGTTTCAGCATTATTATAACCATCAATAATGGAAGTTTAATTCTGAATAAAAATCCAATGTAATGTTTCCTCTTTGGGTAGTCATTTGTTATCTGCCTCTTTTAAACTAATAAATAGAAAACTGAAGCACAAAGTGTTTTCCTCCGTGGTTATTAAGGTGGGCCTTGGGAGATTACTACTGGTACTCTAACGCCAATGGCATAAATCATCCGTATGTTTTTACACAGTCGCTGGTTTTGAGAATATTTTCTTCTCCTGATTTCAGGTTGGGTGGGACTATATCAGCATACAAGATAGTACCAGATGAAATAGAAGAAATCAAGGTATAGTATGGCAATTTTCACCTCTACAAAGGCTTAGCTTCTTGGTTGGGAGCTGGGGGGCAGATTTGTACTTTTGTAATGTCTATAAATCTGATATGATAGGACATCATCAAATTCCTAGTTATTTTACTTGAGTTAAAATATATACATATTAGAGAATCATCATTAGATTTGATCCGCCATTTATAATGCAGTTCTGGGAAAAGTATAAGAAGCATGAAAATAAAAGAAACCATTCCTTTTTGGTTTGTTGAAAATATGAAACAGCATTGTGTATAAGCACTAGTGTAAATAACGTATGATTTTTATCTTTTTGAAATTCTTTTTCCTATAAAACTTCACTAGTTATAAGCAATACCATTCTTTTAGTCAATATTTTCTTGTTTCTTTTAAAATGCAAACACCAATTTCAACTGAAATTTATATTATAATGAATCAAGAATTGACCTTATTCTTTAAAAATCGGAGCAATACTACAATTTCTGTCTCCTAATTGCTACTAAGTCCTGTCGAACATTAATCACCTTGCACAACGTGTTCACCTTTGTCTTAAAGCATTTTCCCAAATATTGAGAACACTGGACTTACTGTTTCATTAGTGAAATTTGACAGTAGCATTAGTCAATGATAAACAATACTGTTTGAGTTGTTGATAATTATATGTAAAAATTTCAAATTATTATGCTTACTTTGATTGAGCTTTTCAACCTCAAGTTCAATAAATTTTTTATAATGAGTTCTATAATTTGCTTATTTGTTTTAAGTTATTTAAGTCCATTGATCATCATTATTATTATATGATAAATTAGTAGCTATTATAATTTGTGGTCCTCTGCAGGAATTAATGTCATGAATTTGTTCTATTAAAAAATAAAAAGACAAAAAAATACAATAAAAAGACAGCCAGGCATGATTGGGCACACCTTTAATTTCAGCATTTGGGAGGCAGATGCAGGTGAATCTGTTTGAGGCCAGCCTGTTCTCTATAGTGAATCCAGACCAGCTTTGGCTACAGGGAAACCCTGTCTCAAAAAGACAATAAATGAATAAATGAATGAATGAATGAATGAATGAATAAAATAAAAAGTTTAAAATTTTCAGGAGTCATTGTGTATGTCAATCTAGTATTCAGGGGTGAGATACACTCCTGTGATTGATAATGGGACTTGTAATGATACAACATTTATTTGAGATCATGCTAGTGAATAAAGTCACATTTTAAAGTTGTACCAGGCAGTAACAATAAGCTAAAGTGGTCCTAGAGCATACCCACACTAAACCCAGTAGATTTTTATTTAAGTAGTTTGCAGGAAATGCTGGCCTTTTTTTCCTTTTCTTTTTCCTTTTCTAGTTTTGAAAATTGACCCTAAGGTGTCATACATGCCAGACAAGTGTTGTACCACTGAGCCCTCCTATTAACTATCTTTTAAGAGTGAGTTTTCTCTTAAAGAGAGGTTTTTATTTTGTTTGCTCATAGAGTTGTAAGAGTCATATCAGGAGATTCCTTAAAACACATGATTTGTAACTGATTTGTAGTATGATTTTTCTACCAACTAATGATACTGAAATACTTTTAAAGAGTTTGAGCACTGGGACATCAAAATGTTGTTTTCAAATGCATTGGTGGAACAACTGCCTTAAAGTATTTCATTGGCATTGGATATCACATTAGCATTTTTAGCTGAAATCACTCTCTTTTTCTCAGTCTGAAGCATATTAAATACATAGATTTCTACTGTATTTAACTAAGATCCAAATAACTTAAAATTATCTAAGCTATTTTAATGATTTTAAGTTTGATATATTATAATTCACCATGTATAATTATATACGTGTATTTTAAAATATTTTGTTATTTTTAATTTTATGTGTATGAGTGTATTGCCTGCATGTATGTATTGCCTGCATGTATGTATGTGCACCCATATCATTCAGTGCCCATGGTGGTCAGAAGAGGTCATTAGATGCCTCTGGAGCTGAAGTTATGAATGATGGTTAGCCACTCTATTATTCAGTGTTTTCCAAAGAAACAGAACCAGTAGAATAAATATATATGTATAGGAATTTATCAGATTAGCTCACAGGCTAGAGTCCAAGTAGTCCAACAATGGCTGCACCACACTAGAGAGGCTGAGAATCTGTAGTTGCTCAATCCATGAGGCTGGATGTCTCAGTAGTCCCAATCTGGCGCTGAAGGTCTGATGAATTCCAAAAGATCTGCTAGTCTTCAGTCTACAGCAGCAAGACGAACTCACCAGCAAGAGAGAAGGCAAGCAGCAAAAAGCAAGCACTCTTCTCTGCCATGGCCTTTTATATGGGCTGCCATCAGAAGGTAACACCCACATTTGGGGTGTGTCTTCCAGCTTCAGATGATCCAATCAAGAAGATTGCTCTCATTTCAGTTAATCCCAGATCCAGTCAACTTGACACCCAGAATTAGCCACCACAGCCACCATGTGGGTGTTTGGAATCAATCCTGGGTCCTCTGCAAGAGCAGCCAGTGCTCTTAACCATGGAGCCATCTCTCCAGCCCCATGTATTTTCTGTCTTAATGAGACATCAGTTGATGAAACATAACTCAATTTTTGTCAGATGTATTTTTCATTATGTTTATAATATCATAAACCATTATTTAGTTTTTATATTCCTCATGAATTGCTTGAGATAATATTACAATAAATTTGTGAGGTTTCAAAAATGTTCTTACTGAGAAGACTTCTAGTTCCAGCAAAAATGGAGTAATCTCATTCCTCCAAAGTCTTCTTACCAGAAATAAAAAATTGGTGGGAATTACCAAATAAACAGAAAACCTCTAAGAGTTGGGTTGGGGTCAAGAAGAGCAGATGACCCAAGAACCTCAGGACTTAAGAAATTACATAGTCAAGCTGGAGAGATGGCTCAACAGTCAAGAGCCATCTTAAATGGTTGTTCCTGCTGAGGACCTGGGTTCAGTTTCCAGAACCCACAAGGTAGCTAACAATCATCCAACTGTAACTCCAGTTCCAGGGTATCCAGTGCCTTCTTCTAACCTCCATGGCATTGTACAACATGGGTGCACTTACATGCATGCAAGCAATGCACTCATACACATAAAATAAAAATAACTTTTTTTATAAAAAGAATTTATATAGTCATGAATTCCCTTTGTTTTCTTATTATCTCCCATGTATCCTGGACAGGTTGCCAAAGAAGCCTTCAACCTGAAACTACCAACAGACATAGACAAAAAGGATGTGTAAGAGAGTCCACACAAGCCTTTTTGTTTAGTCAGAAGATAAAAGATGAGAGTTGCCTAACAGTAGAAAACTGTTCAGTAATACTCATTCTACTCTAACCAAACATCAATGAAAAAAGAATTCAGTTTTAGCAGAGCCAAGCAGAATGCAGATCTTCCACCTCAGCCCCTGCCATTCCACCCAGCAGCCATCTCATGCAAATTAAGACATCCACCCAGGAGCAGTGAGAGTGGACAAGACAGTGACAGAGAAAGCTAGTCATCATTGTTTCACCTTCTCTTTCTGTCAGTGAGGCCAAGTAGGGAGGTGAGTCTCCACCACCACCCCCAGCATGCCCTCCCCCCCTTCATGGTATCATTAAGTCTGGGCCAGGTACTCCATGCACCATGAGCTAGCCATCTTCTCTCCCTTTAACGAAGATGCAAGGTGGTGTTGGTATCCACCCCTGCTTAGTTTCAGCAGTGGGATAAGATGGTATGCACTTTCTCCAGGACTCTTAGCAGGTCCAAGAGGGAAAGTGAATCTCTACTTACCAGTTATAATTCAGTGTTTCAGTGTATTTAGTAAGAACCATAACATAAATATCCATGTAGTCTTCAGGCTACTCTGTAAGATGGAAGACATTTGCCCCCAAAAAGTGATAGAATATTCTCATAAAATCTCAAACATCTGGGTATAAGATCTTTTTCATACCAAGAACCAAGAAAATAACAAGTTGAATGAGAAGAAAATAGTTGTCAGACACCAAATCAAAAATAAATGAAATGAGCAACTATCTGATGAGAATTTTAAACTATTTTTCATAATATACTTTGGTAACTGATTATGAATTCTGTTTAAAACAAATGAAATACAGGAAATTTTTAAAGCAATAAACCATTAGAAAAAGATAGAAAATGGAAAGTATCAAACTGAAAATTAACAGTTAATAAGTTACCAGTGTTAAAAAAAAAAAAAACTACAAATGGGGAAGAGAAGGAGCTGGCACATTTTTCAAGTTCTAGAAAGAACTGTCAATCATTAATTCTATATGTAGTCAAATTATACTGTAGGAATGAATAGGAAATATAGATATCAACAAGCAAAATTAAAATAGTCTGTTCCTATATAACGTACCATGAAAAAAATCGCAACAAATATTCTCCAAAGACAAAAAAAAAATGAAAGTAAGTCTTGAAAATTCAGGAAAAAAGGAACAATGAAATGAGTTAATAAAGTGAAATATACCTCATGGTTCTTTAAAACCACATTTAAGGTCAAAAGAAATATAATTCTATATGATTTGATTCTCCTTATATGTATGCAGCACATTCATATTTAAAGTGTGAAAAGATGAAGTTATTATCTAAATATAAAGAAGACATACATTTCACTTGAAATGGTACATTAACAACACTAGAAGATTGTGATGAATTGCATTTGTATTCAGAGAAAACACAAAGAAAAGTATATAAGATAACATATTCAAAGTACTACAAATAAAGGTGGAAACCCAAGAAAGGGTTTAAGTGAGCAACAGTAAGGCAATCAAGAAACAGTATCATGAGTAATGGTGGCACATGCCTTTAATCCTAGCTCTAGGGAGGAGGAGGCAGGCAAATCTCTGTGAGACTGAGGCCAGCCTGGTGTACATAGTGAGTTCTGGACCAGCTGATGCTACAGGGAAACCAGAGGGGGGGAGAGGGGGGGGAGGGAGGGAGGAAGGGAGAGAAGAGAGGGGATGGAGAGACCATGAATAATATAATTTTAAGCTTTATAATATCA